GATTTTCATGTAGGTATATTTAAATTTATAACTCGGAAAATAATAACTTAAAAAAAAACCTTCAACCTTTTTAATTGAGACTAAACCAAAGAATATAAAAGAACTGTTTCGATAAAAAAAATGTTTTTTGACATTTTTTTAAACAATCGTGATATAACCAATACCCGACCGGGTAAAAAAATTTAATCCGAATAATTTTTCCCACTCACCCGCCCATATAGCCTGACCTTTGGAGGCTGTTGCCGTACCGGTCCAAAATGCTCTCATGCCGGCCCTGACTATTTGCTTGTAATGAACATAGAAAATCACTTTGTATTTAATGTACACGCTTAATGACTATACCGCTATTATGAAAATTATGTGGGTGAAGTAAGTGATTGGCGAGTCAATTCATTAATAGACGTATATTACTAGCTTTTACCCCCAGATTTAGGATATAAATTTTGGTTGAGGGTGACGTTGGTCTTTGTATTTATAACATTCTTGACTCCGGTAACTTGAGTCAACAAGGGACTGTTATTTAATGTACTTACCGTTTTTCTTGTTTATTTTATTTTAATTTTGTTAAAAAACCTGCAGATTAAAACCTCATAACAGAACGTTTTTTTAGGGGTATTAACTTTTAAAAATCGTTAGGCACGTAGTGATTTGAAGAGTGATTATAATTATGTTTGAAATAGATAAACAAAAAAAATCAAATTTTCCTGAATAAACTTTAATACCCCTGTTATGTTCTTTATCAGGGATCGTTTTAAGAAATCATAAAATAGATGTTTTGTTATTTGTTTTAAACAGTTTTTAAACCCTTTCACTTCCTTGATGTTTCACAAATCCTTTCTATGCTCTTTAAAGAACACATTCTTTACATTTCACGTTTTTATCTTCATTTTTTACACAATACACAGATCAGTGCTTGATTTAGAGATACTTGTAATTAATTTATAAAAATTATGATACTGCAAGTGGCTTTAACGAAGTTTTATAGTTTTGATGTTAGATTTTGAATTAATTCTTTTTTATGTGACCTTAAATGTCACCTACATACTTCAATTAAGCTGAATTTTTATACGACATTAAATAAAAAAGTTTTAACAAAAACTCCTCCAAGAATAAATCCTGTGCGCGGTCCTTTGAAACATCAAGACCAATAACAAGACAAATGGTACTCAAATAAAACTAGGTACGAGGACGAATCAAATATAGATGTGATTTTCTTATTTTATTTTTTTATTTGAGTGTGAAAAAAAAAGAATAACGCTTATTCTTCTACAGATTCCCCTGATTTAGAAATACGTTTTTCCCATCGTATAAGTAATTTTCATGTACTCTCCTAGTCGAAAGAAGTCAGTTGCGTCTACTGTCAATAACTCTTGAATCTTTGCTCCTTTAGGAGTTCCTTGAGAGAACTAAACAGCTGAAAGTCGCAGGGTGATAGGTCCCCATAGGCGGAGTGTTCAAGTGTCTTTCAACTTAATCGTCCTAATCTGTTTCTGGTCAGGATTGCTGTAAGGGGACGATCATTGTCTTGAAGAAGTTCCACTTGTTTCATCGATAAGCTAGTTCAATGTCACATAAAATATCACAGTAAGTGCTGGAAGTGCAACAAGCCATGCAGGTCAAAAATAATCGTAGCCAAAACCTCGCCACTTGGCTTTGATTGACCCAGGTTCCCCTTGTTCGTTTATTTCGATTCGGGGATATAGTGGTGCACTAACGTTTCACCACAGGTGCTAACGTGAGTGACAAATGAGGCTCCGTCTTCCTGAAATTTCACTAGAAGATGGTCACACCCCTGCACAAAATGCAATTTTTGCTCAAATGTCAAAAAGCGAGGAATTCATCTGACACACATTTCTACCAACGTGCAATCTTTTTGATGGCCAGATGCTTGTTACCCTCAAGAAGTTGTTTAATATGGATGATATTACGATGCAGGGTTGGCGATTATGGTTCTCGTTTTCAATGTTCCCATGGTTCCCCATGCCATACAAACACTCTGTCTCGTGAAAGCGCACCATCGCTGAATGTGCAGTCAATCTGCTCAGAATTTCTGTTGGTTTTAAACCAAGAAACTTATTAATAATTGCACAACTGACGAAGGAATCTCCTCTTTAGTCATCTTCACGATGGATACTAGAAAGGAGAAGAATGAGCGAAGAAGCTTATCTCTTTCTCCCACTTCAGACATCCTCGCCCAACACCTCACGAAACAAAAGATTTCATGTTTTAATTTTGGGGTCAAGCCCAAAGGTTATTTTGAAAATACACAATCTCATAACATTAATAACCACAATCAGCTAAATAGGACCTTAATTGGTAAAGGGGTTTTAGTCGGAAGGTTTGAGGACACCTTTCTCGAGAATCCGAAACTACCCAGTCGTACGGACGGCTGGGTGTCTTTTGAAGATTTCCCCTTTTCTACAAAAACAAAAAAAAGTCCAAAGGTCTGGTTTATATTTGATTCGTCCTCGTATGCAAAATTACGACCAAAGTTTAGATCAATTTGCTTTTTTTATGATCAGTAATTTACACCCCTATTAAAATGTGTAAAGACAAAAAAATTAAAGCATTACAATATCTTACCAACATTTCATCATCTGGCACCCTGGATAATAGGTCAAGCACCTCATTATTGGGAACAGAATGTGGCCGAAAGACTCTCCTAAAAAATTTATTTGTGCCCCATGTCATTAACAGATATCTAACTGGAACAAAGAATAAAACCACGCAACAGGCAGCCAGTAGGAAAACGGCAATCCAAGAAAGGAACGGTACGGAAAAATTAAATGTGCTGAAAACACACGAGTGAGCATAGATGGATTTATAAAAACCGGATTGTAAAATATTTACTTCTTAACACTTTCGCCTAGGGTGGCTAACCGACCGATAGTATTTTGGACAGTCTGAGTCACCTCTTGTATTGCTTGGAGACGTTCTTTTAGAGTTTTCTTTTCTTCCTATAATGTTACAATTAATACTAGTTGTACAACCAATTTGAACCCCTCAAAGATCATCTTTCATTTTAACGTAAGTGATAAGTGAAAATTTTTTTATATCAAGCAACATGCAGCGTCTCAAATTGGTAAAGGCTTTCGCGGATAGATGAACTGATCCTGTCCTGATTCGGGTCTAAAGGCCGTCGTCGGTTGGAGTTGTTTCCTAACGTTTCGCTAGCATGAACACATTCATTATCGGAGATGGAATGATCTCTGAAGAAGCTCGTCACTCGTGCTATCGAAACATTAGGAAGCAACTTGAACCAACGACGGCTTTTAGACCCGATTATCTTGACGTGGTTGGTACTTTATTCAGACTGTCTATGGCGTGCTGATGAGAACTAATAAGTTTGATATCGTGATCTGCGTCTGGCAGTTTCGACAGAATACAGATCACTTCGAATTATTTTATTCAAAGGCAACACCATTTAACCATCGATGTTCTATCATTCTTAACGTCTCTCGGAAAAAAGATTCTTTAGTCTCCGATAACCACTGATTTACCGCATATACTATCACATTGTCTGATGAGAATCATTTATCACGTAAAGATTCCTTAAGTTTTGAAAACAGTCGGTAATCGTTAGGAGCCAAATCTGCGGAATGTGGCGGATGCTCAACTAATTCAAGGCTCATCTTAGCTGTTGCAGACTTTTAATTTTGTAGCGTTAGTTTGTGTATAGCAGCTACAATGCGACGGGAATCAGGGAGGGAGCTAAGGGATCAAGCCTCGCAGATGTAATTGTTTTCACTTCAACATTGGAAAACGAATTGAGTTATACCAATTTTACAGTAAAATAAGAAAATATTTTACGAACAAGAAGGTACCAAATTCAATCAGTCCCTCTTTTATGGAATGATGCTTTTCAAAAAATGTTGGGCAAACATTTAAAGAGCTTTGTTTCCCAGACACAGTTAGTATCACAATTTGCAAAGACGGGCAAACCTAATTTAACCGGTAATCCCCTAATAATACAGGTCTGCGATAAAAAAGTTTTTCATATAAATTTATCTTAAGCATGCAAATGTTGGTCTATAATTTGCAAATATAAACTTTTTTTTAACGTATCACGTCACANAAGTCATGTTTTTACATTATTTTCTAGTACGCTACTGTCCTATCTGTATTAATACTACAATTTACGCCTACTGAAAGCTTATTTGTGTATCGGTTCCAAGTGACTTACCCAAATAGGTCATAAATGGGCAAGTACCTACGCGACCGCTCGCCAGCTTCCTTCGTCCTACCTATACCTACTTTAAAAACCATGCTTTCAAAAATTTTATCGGTTCCCGCGTAAAAAACAGTTTTTGATTTTTTCTGCATTGTTTTCACCGGAAAAAGTATCAGCTGTTCTGAGGTACCTTTCCCCGAAGTTTTCGGGTGTATTACTGGTTTTTCCTTAAATTTCTTACCTTGAACGAATACGGAACAGTTCGTAGGACATTTTGTGGTAGGACAAAATAAGTGAAGAATTAATGTAAGGATAATATGAGGGTAAAGTAGGAAATTTGATGAGAATATGCGGGATGGGATAAAGAGAGAAGAGAATGAAATTAGGACATAGCATGGACACTAACAGTCAGAGCACAAAAAGGCGGTAAAGAGCTTATGTGACTAGGCCACAGTAGTAGTCCAGGCAATATGAGCGGGTGAGTGGGAAAGATTATTCGGTTTAAAGTTTTTTATGATTGTTCACAGGGAGAAAATTAAATTTTTATGACAACGCAAAAATTACAATTTTCGATTGTACATGATTGAATTTGCCGTAGAAATAGTAGAATTTATTAGTTAACTTGTAATAATCTCAATTTTGACATGTTTTTTTAAAAATTATTTCAAGTTTCTTAAGAAGTCACTTCTATGCTCGCGAACGGTTAATTTAGAAATTCGAAAAAGGTTGTTAAAGGTGTATGTTTGGAGCACGGCGTTGTACGGGTGC